TTTGTATCAGTTGTCTATTATCCACAACTTAAGCTAAAATAAGCTTATTTTAGAACTAAATTACACTCTAAAATGTTCTAGGTTATTATGATTATCATAAAATGGATGTCTTTAAAACATAATTATAGAAAAAACTTGAAATCCATAGCACTGACAATATTATCTGATTACACTAATAATGAGTGCGGAGCGATTTCTATGTTGATTATCGCATGCCTCTTACTTGTTGTACTGTAACTATTATATACAAAACATCTATTCAAAAGAGCAACACACAAGTTTCTAACTCATTCTTCTTGTGATGAATCTGCATTCCGAATGAGTGGTAGAATTAAAATATGACTATTCAAAAGTGCTTGTAATGAGTTTATTTGAATAAAGATTATTTCTATTTGTATTTCATAACATAAACCAACTTTTATATTTATAAAATTAATTCACCGCGTGGAACAATCGTTAGTGGAGAAATATTTAAAGTCAAAAACTCCGGAGTTTCTCCATAAAACTAGAATAGTACATATTATGATAAAAATATTGTTGGGCAAAACCTAGAGTATTTTCAAGCATTTTTTATGAAATAATGAAATGAACACAACATTACATAAAAAATATTTATAACTAGCTTTTACCCGCGGCTTCGCTCGCGTTAATTTATCCCTTTAGAGGTGGAATTTATGAAAATTCTTTCTTAGGAGATGCGTACGTTATAGTAGCTTTATGAATGAAAAGTCTCAGCCCGATCGGTTTAAAATTGACAAAATTTCATACAAACTTTCATCCCCTATTTTATCCCCTTGGGGGTAGAATTAATCAAAATCCGTTCTTAGCGGATGCCTACGTCATAACATCTACCTGCATGCCAAATTTCAGCCCGATCCGTCCAGTGGTTTGGGCTGTGCGTTGATAGATCACTATGTCAGTCACCTTTGAGTTATATTTGTTTAGATTCTCCATGTGAAACTGTCATTTGTGGAAAAATATTTAAAGACATAAACTTCGGAGTTTCTCCATCAAACCAGAATAATATTATACTAGTAATATTGGGCATAAACTAGAATGTTTTCAAGGAAAAGAATCTGGTAAAAATCGCCTGCAAAAAACCTCAACTTTATTTTAGAGAAGTGTTAGTTTAGAGAGTAGTAGTGGAAAAACTTTTTTAATACAAATGTAGAAGGAAAATGAACGTATCTTTTTGAATGCAATACTTCCTTCACTGTCAGTCACAATTTGACGAGAATAAACTTTGCAAATATCATGCAAATGCAGTCATTTGAATATAAGTGATTTTTTTTTATGTAATTGGAATAGTAAACCGAACAGATCAGTCCATACAAATAGCACCCGTTCACGAGTATGACGAATGAGTCAGTCTATTAGAGGGAGCACATTGACCCGGCCTATCAAGCCGCCGCAAATTTGAACTTTATAGCGAGCATGACTGTTTCAAGTTACTACACTACGTCATTTATATTATTTACCTATACTGAGGTTACAATACAATAACAGTTTTCACCCTTTACAATGTCATTACATAGTATAAAACAAAGTCGCTGTCACTGTCTGTCCGTCCCTATGTATGCATAAATCTTTAAAACTACGCAACGGATTTTGAAGGGATATTTTCAATAGATAGAGTGATTCTAGAGGAAGGTTTATGTTGTTGACTCGTAAATAAAATAAGAAGTGGACTGTAGGTTATTATATTTAATACGAGGAGTTATAATATTACAAGGAACATTAGCTAATTAATAAGGTACGCGTGCGGTGACGTCGTAGGCGCAAGGCAATGAAAGGTGTCCCGGCCTAGCGGCTGTCAATAGCTCATCTTCGATAGCGCTCGAACATCCTCCTCGGGTTGAAGTATTCAAGAAACAGGAAGAGGGCAGAGGTTGTTGAAAGCCCTCAAAATTGTTCCCTTCTTGGTCTTCAGTTCGGCCACGCGTGCGGCCCCGTCGATGCCAGGGAAAACTTTAGTGATGCGCCCCAGGAGCCATAGTAGCGGCGGTTGTCCTCTATCCTTTACTAGGACGAGTGTTCCAGCAGACAGCTGGCCAGTTGAAGACGTCCACTTGGTTTTCTGTTGGAGTAGAGAAATATACTCGAGGTGAAATCTTTGCCAGAAATGTTGTTTGATGTGCTGCACCCTGTGATAGCGTTCCAGACGCTCAATTTTGATGTCAATTACTTGTGGATGTGGAACCGACATTAGTGGTCGTCCAATTAAAAAATGTGAAGGAGTTAGGGCTGTTAAATCTAAAGGATCAGAGGAAATAGGGGTTAATGGACGTGAGTTTAAAACTGCCTCAATTTGAGTCAAACATGTTGCCATCTCCTCATACGTAAAATGAGCTACTTGCAGTAATCGCCTTAAATGATGTTTGGTGGAACGGACTGCTGCCTCAGCGATACCATTGAAGTGTGGTGAATAGGGAGGAGCGAATGCAAACTCAATACCTTGTTGGGTGACCTCGTATGAAATATCAGATTTCTGTAAAAACGTTTGTAGTTCGTTGCAGGCGCCGACAAAGTTAGTACCGTTGTCAGACAAGATACTTTGAGGTTTACCTCGACGAGCCACAAAACGGTTTAAAGCAGACATATACCCTTCTTTTGATAGGTCTGTAACGAGCTCGATGTGCACGGCTTTGACTGCAAGACACACAAAAATACACAGGTATGACTTTATAAGCTTGCAACCTCGCCCTTTCCGGTCAGCTATAAACACTGGCCCAGCATAGTCGACACTGCAATGTAAAAATGGAAACTCTAATTTTGTTCTTGATGTCGGTAACTGTCCCATAATAGGTTGTATTGTTAAACATTTATTTTTGAAGCATTTTATGCAATTCCTGACTACTACTTTAGAAAGATTTCTGCCTCCTAGAGGCCAATATGTATGTCGAATATTAGCTAAAAGAAGCTGGGGACCAGCATGTAACAATTCTTTATGGTATTTAATAAATATTAATTTAGTGAAATGATGTTTTGCACACAATAATATGGGATGTTTTATATTATAGTCGTAGGGAGAATTGTCTAGTCTGCCGCCTACGCGAATAATACCATTATTATCTACGAATAGACTTAGAGATGCAAGTCTATTTTTACGTGGTAATGATTTTTTTGATGAAAGTAAACTAAGTTCTATTGGAAACATATCCTTTTGGGCATGGATTGTAATAAGCTGTAATGAATCAGTAAGTTCTTTACTAGTAAGAAAACCATGCAACTTATTGTTTTTACCTTTTAAATTGTTAGAAAATCTTAGTATATAAGCAACTACTCTATGCAAACGATGAAAATTTGAAAATTTATGAATTAGTGTTTTAAATAATGACTGATTATTATATTGTGATTTTATTAATACATGTGAATGAGGATTTGATGTAAGGTCGAGTGATGTAAAGCGATGCGATGACACTACATCAGGTGGATCTTGTTTCACAGTTTGATTGGGCATTTTTGGCCAATCATTTTTATTTAACAATAAAAACTCTGGCCCTGACCACCATAAAGAACAGTTGCTGATTAGGTCAGCCTTCAGCCCGCGAGAAACAAAATCCGCCGGATTATCCGTGGACGGAACATAACTCCACGTATGCCCTGCTGTACTTTCCTGTATTTCATGTACACGATTGCGTACAAAGGGTTTTAATGTATTAGCTGCCATAGATAACCAACTCAACACTATTGTCGAATCGCACCAGAACCGACAATGACTAATAGGTAAAGTAAGAGAACTCATCACTTTAGTACACAATCTTGTTCCTAAGAGGGCGCCACAGAGCTCAAGACGTGGTATTGTAGTGGGCTTAACCGGTGCCACTCGACTTTTTGACACTAGAAGTTGGACTTTAACTAATCCTTTATTATCTGTAGAACGAATATAAATGCATGCACCATATGCCGCCTCAGACGCGTCTGTAAAAACATGTATTTCGTTACATACATAATTGTCACATAATACCCATCTAGGTATTTTTAAGTTATTTAGACAAGGAAGGGTAGTTATTAAAGAAAGCCAGAGATCTTTTAACTCGTCAGATATAATGTCATCCCAATCATATTTACTAAGCCATAGCTTTTGCATAATTATTTTGGCTTCTACTATACACGGACTGACTAGACCTAACGGATCAAAAATCTGACTAATAATTGACAAGATATTGCGTTTTGTAATTTGTTTGTTTGTATCTATATAGATAGAAAGTACTAACGTATCTGAATCGCATAACCAACGCAAACCTAGCGTTTTACATGAAATAGTACTCTTTTCAAAAAAATCTAGACTGTTTGAAGCCTCTGTAATACCTGAAATTTCAGTTAAGATTTGTAATGAATTAGACTGCCATTTTCGTAGATGAAAATTTGCAGAAGATAAAATAGAAATTACTTCCTTACTCATTTTGACCACCTCAGAAATTGAATTACCACCGCTTAGATAATCGTCGACATAGAAGTCACGTTCAATAGAAGTCTTTACGGTTTCGTTACTTGATTCTGGCGTGATAAACTAACCAGACATTTCGTGGCTAAGTAAGGGGCAGAAGCTGTGCCATAAGTTAGGGTATTAAGTCTGTATGTTTTTAAGGGTTCATTGGGATTCGATCTAAAAATTATCTGTTGTAAAGAACGGTGGGAGGGAGTGATGTCAATTGCTCTATACATTTTTTCTACGTCGCCAGATATTACATATTTGTGTTGACGGAAACGTAGTAAAATGGAGAACAGATCATTCTGGACAGTAGGCCCCACCATCTGAATATCATTGAATGATATTCCAGATGTGGAAGCAGCAGAGGCATCGAAGACTACCCGGAGCTTAGTTGTAGTACTGGATTCCCTAACCACACCGTGATGCGGCAAAAAATACTCAATCTCGCTACTAGAATGCGGTTTCAATGGTGAAGTAATCTCAGTCATATGTCCCAGGCGCTCGTACTCTGCCATAAACTGAACGTATTTCTCTTTATAGTTAGGATCACGTTGAAAACGACGTTCTAAAGAAATCGACGTTTAGCCATTTCATAAGAATTACCTAACGTGTTACAGTTGTCTTTCAATGGATAAGTAACCATAAAACGACCGTCTTTGTTTCGAGTGGTATTAGTACGAAAGCTTTCCTCACAGGCTCGTTCTTCTGGAGATAAACTATATTTTAAAGGAACCGAATCCAACTCCCAGAATTTATTTAAATTTAAGTTTAATTCATTAGTTTGTAGATTACAATAATGCGATTGTTTTGTTGAGAAAGACTTTGATGAAACAATCACAGGACCGGTAACTATCCAACCGAATTTAGATGCATATAATGTAGGTTGGTTTTTACCGAGTTTAATAGATGCACTACCGAGAACCGCCCAAAATACTTCAGCACCAACTAATATGTCAATAGGTGACGGACAATAGAAAGAAGGGTCGGCTAACTGTAAATTTGAAGGTATAGGAATGTTGCGAATGTCAATTGAAGTTGGAGGTAACAGTTTTGTAATTTCAGGCAGAATATAGCAGTCAATATTAATTTTAAAATTGTCATCAAGTGATATAATAGTAAGATTACAAGATTGTGTACTATTTGATGTTTGGCTATTTATACCTGTTATTGTGGAGTTAATGTTCCGCCGAGGCAATCTCAGCTTGTTACTAAGCGTCTGCGTAATAAAATTGGCTGTGCTACCATTATCGAGTAGGATCCTGGCGTCGAACTTCTCACCGTCATCGCTCACAACCTTCACCATAGCTGTGGACAGTAAAATAGAAGAAGTAGTATTCTGTATGATAGTGTCACAAGATAAAGCGACATTGCCTGTTGGACAATTAGTAGAAGAAATACCGGCAATGTCAATAGGAAGGGCGACACTACTACTACTACTAGGCATAGAATTATTAATAGACGTAGACATGGTCTGGTCATCTACATGCAAGAGAGTATTATGCTTTCCTTTGCAATATTTGCAGCGTGATAATCTACATCTTGATGTGATATGACCTGTGCGTAAACAATTCATACACACATTGAGTTCCTTTGATTTACAAACTCGTGATTCTATAGATAGATTTCTGAAAGATTCACATGTATATAATAGATGGTGTTTAAAACAAAGGGGGCATTTTAATGGGGTTTTATTGTAAGAAATTTGGTTTGAGTTATGATTATTGTTATGATTGTTATAATTATTAGTGGCAACTATGAAGCTTTTTTGTTTATTATCTAATTTATGTATTATTTTATGATTTTGATTATTGTTTTCTAATGTTTCTAATAAATCTGCTTTGTTGCTAATGAATTTACAAAATTGTGATAAAGTGGGTGCAGTATCCAATGTATTGCGATACTCCTCCCAGTTCCTACTAGTGATGGGATCTAATTTGCATGACATCATATACACTATAAGCGTATCCCAAGAATCCGTGGGCTCGTTCAATGTTTTTAACGCTCTAATATTTTTATTAATGCTATCTATGAGTGAACGTAACGACAAATGTGATTCTTTTGGCAGCTTATCAACATTGAACAGTGCCTGCACGTGGTTATGCACTAAAAGTCTACTGTTATCATACCGATCACATAGTAAACTCCACGCCATTTGATAATTGTCTCCTTTGAAATCAATATTCTTAATTATTTCTTTTGCGCTTCCTTTTAATGACGCACGAAGGTAGTGGAATTTACTAATGTCATCTATCGCGCTACTATTATGGATAAGCGATAAATATGTCTCTCTATACTCTAGCCAGTAATTATAACTACCGTCATAATGAGGTAAATTGATGGTCGGCATGCGTATAAAGCCATTTTGGAACGATTGACCTGTGTTTTTATTCGAAGAGCCCGCTACAGACCCGCCGTCACCACCGGCGCAGGCAGCATTGCCAGTGCCAAGTAGTAAACGCGCCTGCGCAGCCAATGAGTGATACCGTTCCTCGAACTTGGTTCGCTCTGCATACGCTCCCTCTGGGTTATCCGCAAGTACTTCGATCTCCAACTGTAATTCATCGAATTCACCAAACAATGCATCGAATTTACTTAGACGGCCTTCCAACTCAATGCGTTGGAGGTCCGAAATAGATTCACAGCTGAGAAGTACAGTAATAAAATTACTAAAATTAGTTAATTTAGCTTTCATAGCACTGCGTTTTCTACATAATAAATCTTCGTTATTTGCCATTGCTAAATAAGTTTTAACTTAATATAACGAAAAGATTATAAATTAATATCGAAAAATAAATATAGAAATGAAAAAGAAAAGTTATTTATGTATATAAAATATGTAAAGATGCTATTCAATTATAATAACTGCGTAGTAACACGAGCAAAAGAAATAATTTCTATTGAATAGATAAGCACGACCTTGACCGCGAGTGAAGTTACGGTCAGCTGCAGCGTAGTGCAAAGTCCATGCGGTGCAATAATGCAATCGTTAGCCAAATGTACCTACGAATATTGATGCGAGATTTTATCTATACGCACGCTTAATACAATCGAATATGTATAATATAAAAGTAAGCAAGATGCGTTTAAATATTAGATATATTAAATATGTATATAGGTATTGGCGACTATTGACTTATTTTGAAGTAGTGAAAGAAGGAAAAAAAAAGAATAATTGAAAAATAAGCACCAATTGCACGAAAGTATGCGGAGATTATATAGAAAGGAAATAATTGGAACAGACTCACTAGATGTTGTCCTTATCCACAAGAATTGTCCTCAGTATATGTATAGAAGTTTCTCGAAGTGAAGGCAGGATGCATCAATTTGTAATGTTGTCTTGAATTTCTATACCACTGTCGTTTTAAGGCCTCGGGAATAATTATTATATATTCTTCTCCTTATATAATGCGACTTCGATGCGCCGTAGAAGCGATGACACGTCGTATTCTCGTAGCACTTATTGCAATGCCCAAGTTCAAACTCCAACGAAATTCCAATGGTATTGGTATAATCTTGCGGGTTACTTAAGGCCAGTCTGATGGACCAGTTTGTTGTTATATTTAATACGAGGAGTTATAATATTACAAGGAACATTAGCTAATTAATAAGGTACGCGTGCGGTGACGTCGTAGGCGCAAGGCAAAGTGAAAGGTGTCCCGGCCTAGCGGCTGTCAATAGCTCATCTTCGATAGCGCTCGAACATTTATATATATATATAATACATGTACACCCGTGCGAAGCCGGGGTGAGTAGCTAGTTTAAAATATATTTTTTAAATTACAATATGTTAGTACTAAATTTATACATATAAATAAAATTGGAGTGTCTGTTTGTAATATTGAAATAACCGTTTTTTACTACATACATATGAATATAAATACGGTACAGAAACCAAAATATTTTTTTTACAATTTTTGTCTGTATGTCTGTCTGTTTGTTTCGCCTAATCTCTGATATGGCTGGACCGATTTTGATGAAACTTTTTTTAGCAGGTACTTGATGTAATAAGGAGTAACTTAGGCTACTTTTATTTTAGAAAAATAAAGTTAATTTCCACGCGGACGAAGTCGCGGTACAGTTAGTTTAAGTTTCCCTAATGTTTAATGTTAATATATTGATATATGTCTATTTTCAGATGAAATATCTTGTTTCTTAGATACACGTACATATCTCACTCATGTTTTATTTATTTTTTAAAGTTTGTACCCAAATGTAAACTATTCAAAAACATTTCAATTTCCTACAAGTATAAAAGGAGTGTAAGTATTTATATCTCTAAAAATAAATACAGCGGAAAACGGAACGTACATACACTCGCAGTACAAATATAGTGCGATAGAGGAGCAATAGTGAGTGCATATGAACGCTTCGGAGTGCCAGCAAAAAGCGCTCAGGCAATTGAATAATCCATTTTGATTTGGCGCAAGTCATAGGAGATGTGCCGATGTAAAAAAAATATCATAAAAGTTCACGCCGTAACCTAAGTGGTTTCGGACAGTGTGGTTTCAGAGGAGCTTCCATTGCCGATGTAAAAAAAATTATTCTATTATGTAATATTATGTTATCTGTGATTCTATTATACAAGTTCACACCGGAACCTAAGTGGTCTCGGAAGTGCGGTTTCAGAGGAACTTCCTCCCGCGTACACTTAGATTGTGGAATTAAGTATATGTTGAGGTTTTCCCGAGTGACTGCAGCATGGGGTTTTTCAAGAAGGGTATATTAAGGTTTCTTAAGGATCGGCAATGTGCACGTAACACCTGGTGTTTCAGGAGTCTATAGGCTACGATAAACGTTTACCATCAGATGGGCCGTATGCTTGTTTGCTACCTGTAGTACACCTTGTAGGACATTTTAGCAGCTCATGAACGTAAAATTTTTAATATTATAATTTTTTTTCCCTATCGTCCAGTTTAGTCTACAGATTCAATTGAGAAGAACTGGGAAGAAACTCAATTGAATTTCCTGTTATTTTTTTTTCAATAATCAGTTTATTTACAATCTTTGTTCATATCTAACATTAAAAGAAAATTCTGTACATGAACAACTATTACCATGCACGCTCGTCATTCAAATCAAACTTTGGTGAGTAGTGGTTATTTATTTCGCTTTCGCCTATGATATGCACCATACGATTCCGTTAGGATAGCGATGCAGGCGCGCCATATGTTCACACAAATAAATATGTATGTATAGTTACTGTGTATATAGAGATTTGGTTTCTCGGAGGGATGCTGGTGGTTCAATTGTAATTGATTATACCATTAAGTCGAAGTCGATCTGTCAGCACTGTCAACTCACATTAAAGATTTGAGCTACAAAACTCGCCGCCTTGTTAAGTATATGTTTGTGAAGATCTGCTGAAGAATTGTAGAGTGTAACGAAACGTAATATATCTTCTATCTATTGTAAAAATTCTATCTATGTATCTATTATAAAATTTTATTTAGTTAATGATCTGTTATACAATTAGGTCATTATAGGAAATATATGATGAAAATATATCAGAAAAATATTTTTATTTTGTCTGGATATCTGTTTGTTATTGCTAATCTGTGGAACGACTGTACAAATTTTGGCAAGACTTTTAATTGCAGATAGCCAATGTTGTATGAAACGGCTGCATAGACTTTGAAGAGACTTGCATTGCAGATAGACAATGTTATAAGGAGTAACTTACGCTACTTTTATTTTATAAATATTACTTACTTTATTAAGAAAATGTTAAACACACGAATAAAGTCACAGAACTGCGTGAACAGTTAGTAATAATAAATAGTGATGTAGGAAATTTTGGTCAGTTTAGTCTAGACTTAATTTATACTGTTTTTATATGTATATTGTTAGGAATGACTTCTAAATTTAATAAAATAAAAGAAACTTATAAGAAATCGTATAATTAATTTTAACAAAATTAATACAAGAACTTATAAAGCAAACAGGCATGATACGAGATTCGTTCGAGAGCACGTCTGTCGACCAAAAGAGGCCGCACACTTTTCTTTTTTTAGGGGCGAGTGCAGATGGCACTCTAAACCCGCGGAAGGACTTATGGAGCGGCTGAAGGCCAACTCCTGCCTGACGGATACGACTTTAGTCTGAGGGCACCACTAGGGGTTCGAACCTCGGCTCAGGCCGTCGTAATTTCGATCCCCGTTTGAATTGGACGGGGGATCGATCGGAGGAGCAGGCCGCACACCGGGTTTCGCAGCCTTTTATAGACGCGCCGCACGACGGCGGTGCTACCAGCGAAAGTTATAGCTAACAATATATATATAAATCTTCCTTTTAAATGATTCTATTTATTAGAAAAAATCGCTTCAAAATCCGTTGCGTAGTTTTAAAGATTTAAGGTAGAGACGGACAGATAGCGACAGCGACTTTATTTTGTACTATGTAATGATAAATTAATTTAATAATACTGTGTTTTTACATACCTATTGAAATAAACCACTTTGAACTTACATTTGACTAATTCACCCCAAATAACGACGTACTAAATGTACATAAAACTTTTTGTGGGTCTTTTTAAGATATTTCCAAAGGGCTTTGTTTCATGAGGTCTCAAAGAAATAACGAGATAACGGAAACCGAGCTTCACTTGATCTCTCTTCAGAGGGATGCTGTCGAGGAAAATTTTCACAGATTTGCAACTGTACTTTAATGGGGAAATAAGTAATACATTGTATATTATTATTCAATTGAGTTTCTTGACAGTTCTACTCAATTGGATCTATATTTTATAATGAAAAAAATATAGTATAAATAATTTGACGTTCATTAGCAGCTACAATTTCGTAGATTTAAAATTTAATATAAAAACCTTCTCAATTGGATCTATATTTTTTAATGAAAAATAAAAAAAATATAGTATAAAAACCTTCTCAATTGGATTTATATACTGAACAGGACTTTGTGTATTTAATATATCAACCCTAGGATATTAGTACTAGTTGGTAGTTTGTATTCACACATTTCAAATTAAAAATGTAAAGTTACAACGCTCGTTCTTCTTGTGACATGACAGATTTCCGAATGAGCGGTAGATTAAAAAAATGTGATGACTATTCAAAAGTGTTTCAATGTAAGTTTATTTGAATAAAGTATTTTCTATTCTATTCTATTCTATTATACTAATATTATGGAGTGTAATCCTGATTGTTGTAAAACTAAGTTTACTTTTGAATATGTTAATTCCGTAGTATTTCTTACAGACATTTTATTTTCTTCAATAATCGATAACGTTTAATATAAAAAACTAAATATTTTTCTTCTTGTAGGTTTATTAAGAAAGAAAGAAAGATAAAAATGATTAAATAAAATGTATATATAATTAAACTTAATTTACTATGTAAATAATTAAAAATGAACATAAAAAAATATTTTTTACATCAATATAGGCATATAGGCACTGAAATGGCTTCACTCAGCTTACAAGCTCTTATGATATGTCAAATCTACCGTCAGTTCAAAGAGCTTTCGAGCTAAGAAGAACTGATAAGAAACTCAGCTTTTATTGTTATCAAATGTACTTGATTACATAAATACAAAGTCATTTTTAAATTCAATTAGGCAGAATGTAGTGACCGTCACCGTGGCTCTCGTCCATGGGCTACGTTAACCGTTTACCATCAGTCGAGCCGTATGTTATACTAGCTTTTGCTCGCGGTTTCGCTCGCGTTAATTTATCCCCTTAGAGGTGGAATTTGTCAAAATCCTTTCTTAGGGGATGCCTACGTCGTAGTAGCTTTATGCATGAAAAGTCTCAGCCCGATCGGTTTAAAATTGACAAAGTTTCATACAAACTTTCATCCCCTATTTTGTCCCCTTGGGGTAGAATTAATCAAAATCCTTTCTTAGCGGATGCCTACGTCATAACATCTACCTGCATGCCAAATTTCAGCCCGATCCGTCCAGTGGTTTGGGCTGTGCGTTGATAGATCACTACTTCAGTCACTTTGAGTTATATATATTTAGATGTATCATTGTATTTAACTCAGATCTTATTCTTTCTAAGGTTTTCACTAAAGAAACTGATCGCGTTTAGTTCGAACTGAACGCCATTAAAACGTTCAAACGTGTGCAAAGCTTCATTTTGCCATAAATTACTCACAGCATCAAATATAATGTTATGAGCTTGTAAAACTGTGAACGAATGAAAATCTAAACTTTATGTTGGTAAACGCGATCTATATAACGCTGATGAATTTCATTTAAACAAAAAGAGATAAACGTAGTTATTTTTTTCGAGTTCACGCTGAACACCGTTTTCTTGAACGTGTTTATACTACGATTTTGAAATCCAGCCTAAATGAGCTT